AGAACAAGCATGCAGTCTAAAATTTTCCTGGAGTGTATATCAGCTGGGATAATACTTTTTATAGTGCTCGTGGTAGCTTGGAAGCTTGGAATGTTTTGTGGTCAGCTGTGATTTAATATAGAAAGTCATCCGACCACTTGGATATACGGTATATATACTTTTTCATTTTGCTTTTGATCCAAGAAATGTACTGTATAGTGAATCAATTGCTCTTATGAATATCTATTGCATGAAATGTGAGAGGGGGAGCTTTATATCAACCATCTCTTAATTCTCAAAATATATGCATCATCCAGTGAAAAAAGATTTAACTTTTGAAAGGATGAAATTCTCTACTGATCACCACTGTTCCCTCTAAGGTGCGCGCCTGCGCGGCCNTCTGGGTCTTCATTTTACCCACCTCGGAAGGATGGAAGTCTGAGTCAACCTTGAGTCTGGTGAGATTGGAACTGCCAAATTCCAGGCAGGCAGGCAGAAGTAGCCTGCAGTACTGCATTCTAATCACTGCACCACCGTGACTCATAACAATAATAGTGCTTTATAGGGTTGGAAATTCTCAGACCAGAAAAAAACATCAAATCACATTGAATCCTGGAATTCAGTAGTCCTGTCATGACCTGTGGGAGTTCCACCAGAATTATGTGTTGCAGAATAAATTTAATTGCTGCTCTATTTCCAATTTCTGGCTGCTAAATTCACGGCCGACTAAGCGTGTTTAGATTTTACTGAACAGTGTAGAGTTAGTCCTTGACTTACAACTACAATTGAGGCCAAGATTTCTGTTGCTCAGCAAGATAATGGTTAAGTGAGTTTCCCATCATTTTATGACTTTTGTTGCCATATTTGTTAAGTGAATCACTGCACTTGTTAAGTTAGTAACACAGTTGTTAAGTGAATCTGGCTTCCTCATTGACTTTGTCTGAAGATTACAAAAGATGATCCCATGGTCCATGGTCAACCATGAGCCGCATTAGGATTGAACTGCTGTCTCTGGGCAGTGTCAGCCTGCAGTATTGCATTCTAACCACTGCGTCACCATGGCTCTTCAAGCAAAAGCATGAAGTGGCTGTTAATACACACATTCTGGTGAGACAAAATCTCTGGTCCTGGTGGATCAACCCAGATTGGATCCTGCAATGTGATTCTGGGACACACATATTTGCCTTCATTCACTAGTAGATTATTATTTGCTATCTAGTAGATAAAAGAGGGGAGAAAACATTCAGAAGGACACCAAAACTTAAATTTTGCACCAAAGATGTATTGGGAGGCCGCAGAAGGCTCTCTTAGAGGTATACAATTGCAGCAACACAGAGGAGATATTTCTAAGTATAAGTATTCAGAAATCATATTTTACATTTCCAAAACACCACAGCTTAGGCTCAGCCCTTAGGAATTACATAAAAAAAAATTAAAGTACCTTTTTTCCTCCTTGCAACTGAACTGGATGTAAGATAATCCAAGTGCTTTGAGAGGGGGCTAGGAATTTAAGAGAGTCGTAATGCCCATCTTGTTTAGAGGGCTCCAGGTTGGTGAAGGCTACGCCTTGGGCAACCTGAGCCCATACCTTGCCCATTATTATTATTATTATTATTATACTTGTTGTTGCACCCTTTCCCAAGCTGGTGAAAAATGAGCTAGATCATGCTGGTTGAGAATTAATGGTGCTGTGGTCCAGCACATCTGGAGAGCACCTTTAGTGGATTAAGTAGAAACATACAGGTGCAAAATTCACTGCTGTTTTAAGCAGCCTTCACCCAGACAAAGAAATGCTGCAGGCAAGAAGAAGAAATTCTATGTTAGGCTAGGCCCATGATGGCAAACCTGTGGCACGCATGCCAGAAGTGGCACACAGAGCCATCTCTGGGCACGCAAGACTGCCCGTTGCTCTTCCGGGTTCCGGTGTGCTGGCCAGCTCGCCTTCATGTGCAGAGGGGAGCGCCAGAAACCAGAAGAGCAGTCGCCCGGTGCGCATGTGCACATAGGGAAGATTATCTTCCGGTTTCCCGTGTGTGTGTCTTCTTCTGGTGTGCATGCATGCGCGAAGACCAGCTGGCCACTGTGCATGCACACGTCAGAAACTGGAAGATCATTTTCTTGGCACACACATGCACACTGGTGGCTGCTCTTCTGGTTTCTGGCAAATGTGCACGCATGCTCCTGTTTTGGCACTCGGTGCCGAAAAAGTTTGCCAAGACTGGGCTAGGCTACCTGGACAAGCAGTTCAGCCTCGTCTTCTCTGGCTGCCGTGGCTTTCAAGATTTCGCATTGGGAAGGATCATTTTGCTTGGACCGGCCCTGGAACTTTTTCAATGTGCAAACTATTCCTGCCAATTGATGTGCCAGCCAGAGCTGATCACCCAATGATACCTTGCAGCTAAAGGCCTCTCCATGGTCATTGTTGGAGAAACAAGAATACAAGAGGAAATACCATATGCCTTTTTTTGGAATCTAGAAGGCTTCCTTTCCTTTCTGTAATCTGGAGGAAAGCAGGGAGAAACAAAAGTCCCAAGATAGATCCCCCCCCACACACACTTTCAAGAGAGACCAGAATGAGGCAATCTTTTTGACCCTTTGGGAATGCGAAAGCCTGTGGGAGCTGCAATTACAAAATGGCCACTGGGGTATATGTCCGTGTGTTTCTTCATCCACAAAATGGCAGCCGCAAATAACACAGGTATACCTATCGCAAATCATTCATCAGAAAGAACACATAAAGGAGCCAGTGGGTGAACTTTCCTGCTTGCCAGCTGCCTTTTGACTTCAGAATTTTGTTTTTGTTTTAAAGAAAATCTGCTGTGGAAGGAAGCCTGCTGTGACAGCAAGGAGAACAGACTAGCTATGCACGTCACCCGTGTTTTCAGAATTAATCCAATTGTCTGTGTTAGCACAATAGCATTGCAAATTAACCAGCCAGAAAGAATATATTTCACATTCATTCTAGTCTCAGTTCGTGCAAACATTTGTCAATGGTCATACATACTATTTCAGCCAACAGTTTGGGATAAAAGGCCATTCACAAATCATTTGCTTACACACGTTATCTGGTATTTCCACCCATACAATTTGTGAAGACTGCTATTACTGAAGAGCTGTTTGGGGTATTAATCACAACAAAGTTATTCTTAACCATGATGGGGTTTCCCGGGAGGTCTTAACATGTGTGATCCAGTGTCCCCCAGTCTGTGTTGATTTGCTTGCAAATCCAGGGCTTTCTATTCCTTTGTTTTCCTCTCAATGCATCTTTTATTTTTCTACTCCCTTCCCAATAAAAACCAGAGCATTCAATTTCATTTTTCAGCTGCAATGTTAATAGCACAACCAGAAATATTCCTGGATTTCATTCTAAATGTAGGACTATAGTCTAAAATGTTTGGTTTGCTCAAGGGGAAGCAACACTATTCAACATTTTCTTCTCCTTAAGTCTGCTAGTCCACCATCGGTCCATACAATCTAGTTTCTGGTTGCTAACCAGCACGCTGGCACTTGCCAGCCAGGCTGGGTCATCTTGGAATCAGCAGCTGGCGAGAGCACAGCTGCCAGGATCAAGAGCCACCCTTTTCCCTTGGGGGCAAGTCAGAGCCAAAACAAAGACGGCTATATATTTGGCTTAGTTTAATTTAAATGAACCTTAAATCTGTTCCATTCACATGATTACTCCCTACATATTAAACACGTTTCCCTATCAGTCACATGAACAATCTTAAATTGACTAATTGGCAATGTTTGGAAGAGTTGTGTGTATTGCATCCAAGGGTTGAGGGAAGGGGGACAATCTTTGAGTTCCTAGGCCAGTGATGGTGAAACTTTTTGGCACCAAGTGCCTAAACTGGAACGCACATGTATGCATGTGCATGCGCTGGAGCGCGGGAAATCTGAAGACAAGCTGGCCGGCAGGCACATGCCTGGTTTTTTTACCATTTTCAGGCTGTATTTAGGGCCATTTTAAGGCCGTTTTGGGGACATTTTCAGCCATTCTTCACGGGTGCTGGAGCACTGAAAAGCGGCCTGAAAGTCCAAAAAAGGGCCTAAAAAACAGCCTGATTTGGGCTGTTTTCAAGCCGTTTTCTGGTGCCCAGCACCTGCAAAGACCAGCTGGCCAGTGCCAGAAACCAGAAGAGCAGCTGGCGATGGCACGCGTGCCCAGAGAGAGGACTCTGCGTGCTACCTCTGGCACACATGGCATAGGTTCGCCATCCTGGTCCCAGGCTAACATGAATTTATCAGAGAAGGAAATCTTAGTGTTATAATCTAAACGTGGGCTCTGGCTCCTTGCTCTTCTAATCAGACCAGCTTTGTAAATCAAGTCCAGATCAGGATTTGCAGAGACAAACCAAGAGATAGGAGGATGGGCATGAAGCTTAATCAGGACTCAGCAACCTTTCAATGAGACGGATCTAATCACTCGTGATAGCAGGAACATACACGCACACGCACACATACACAAAGAGGTGGGTTTTGGCATTGTCACCTGAACTCTCAAGGAGATCTTATGAAATCCTGCTAGATTTGGCCATGGCAATTGCAATGTTTTGAGGGCCATTTTGAGTTTTGTGGGCACCAACAAGGCATGCCCCAGGCTGGAGGGTATCCGTAAAAGCTTGTGGCCGATTCCTGGAAAGCCACGTCGGTTGAGAAGTTAGGAAGGCTGAAGTCCAACACATTCACAAGTCCGGATTGAAAAAATGCTACTTCCTGTTCCAGTCATTTCTGGGTACGTTGACCCAAGCCGGCTAGCAAGAAGATCTCCAAACAACATGAGACACGCTGCTGTTTTTTTTTTCCTGATCAAATGGCACCACCAGCAATTCCAGGTTCGCATTTTCAGTGAGAATGCAACTGTGGCATATGCCAACTACACCAACCAAAGGAAAAAAAAACAACAAAAACAAATAGCATAATAGTGACATTTCGCTTTCAGAGCGCAATGTCAAAAAACCTTCACAGTGCTTTAATCCCAAAGATTCTTTCTTCATCTCCTCCCTGCTTATATATATTTATTACTATTTTGTAAAAAGCTACTGGGAGTCAATTTGCCTATGCAATAGTCTTTTGCTTCATCACTTCTTCGTGGCATGGCAAAATATTTCTCCCGTGCTCTCTTTGGAGTAAAAAAGAAAAAAAAAGAAAGAAAGAAAGAACCACCCACCCCATTGCTAGGAAATACTGAGAAGAATTCTTTGTTTTAAAATACACCTAGGTCCCATTCTGGGGGGGAAAAAATTAATATTTTTCAGGTTGACTGACTTGGAGTGCATTGATAACACCGTTGATATTTTCTTCTGGAACCTATGAGAGGGAAAAACAAACAAAGAAAGATCAGAGGTTGGATAGCAATAACATTTAGGCTTAAATACTGCCCCATTGTGCTTTTCAGAATTCCCTGGGTGGTTTACAATGTAAGCATTATTTGCCTACTGCCCCCCAACAATCGGGGTCCTCATTTTACCAACCTTGGAAAGATGGAAGGCTGAGCCAGTCAGGATCGAACTCCTGGCTATTTGCCTGCAATACAGCACTTTAACCAGTGGTGGGATTCCATATCTTTTCCTACCAGTTCTACGAGAGTGCGCTTTCCGCGCACAGCACTGAAACACCCCCCTTGGTGTCAGCGCTGGTGAGCTGAGCTGGTTTTTTTAGCTCAGCGAGGCACGGCAATCCACTCTACTGCAAATCAGATGAGCTAAAAAAACAAGGGAATATAGGACAGGGAACCACAGGGGCGGGGCCAACCACAGTTGGTATTTGCCGGTTCTCCAAACTACTCAAAATTTCCGCTACCGCTTCGCTCGAACCGGTCCAAACCGGCTGAATACCATTTCTGACCACTGAGCCACCAGGGATCGTTTCTCCTGATCAAATTCAGCCTACCAGTGTGTTCAAACTCTGCTGTTTTAGGTCCCAACCAGCAGTGGGAGCTCTAAGATGGCTCCCTGTTATAACATGTTATAACAAACTTTGCATTTGTGAAGTACCTTCTTGCCTGCATTTTGCAGAGCAGAGATAGTCACCTTATTCTGATGGGACATTTGGTGTGTGGATGATAGTTCTGGTCCACATCTTTTGGATTATATTGTATTAGGTTAGGTTTATTTTTCCAGTATGCTGTAGATAGCAATAGCAATAGCAGTTAGACTTATATACCGCTTCATAGGGCTTTCAGCCCTCTCTAAGCGGTTTACAG